TCCACTCACTTCAGCCTCCCAAAGTGCTGGGATTACAGGCTGAGCCACCGAGCCCAGCTGAAATTACATTTATTAATCACCAAAGTAGCAAAAGAGAGAAAAAAAAAACAACTAGATCTAACCTTCGAGTTCAGGTGATAAATTCTCCTTAGAAACTGCAGGTATTGGCTCACGCCTATAATTCCAGCACCTTGGGAGTCCAAGGCGAGAGGATTGCCTGAGCCCACAGGTTCAAGACCTGCCTGGGCAACTTGGCGAGACCTCATCTCTACAATAAGTCAAAAAATGTGCTAGGCGTGGTGGCGTGTGCCTGCAGTTCCGGCTACTTGGAAGGCTGAGGTGGAAGGATCGCCAGAGCCCAGCAGGTCGAGGCTGCGGTGGCCATGAGGGCGCCACTGCCAAGTGAGAGACTCCAACTCAAAAAAGAAAACTGCGGGTTCTAGATTCTCTCTTTTCTAGTCAAATAAAAACTTTTAGATAGTCATTTATACAAGTAACTTTTTTTTGGAGTCAGAGTCTCCCTCTGTGGCCCAGACTGGAGTGCAGTCGCACGCTGCCCAAGGCCACCACAGCCTCTACCTGCTGGGCTCAGGCGATCCTTCCACCTCAGCCTCCCAAGTAGCTGGAACTACAGGCACGCACCACCACACCGGGCTATAGATAGCCATTTAAAATGTACTTCTCCTCATTCGATGCCTTCATAGAACAGTGGGGTCAGGGTCATGGCTGAATGAAATGTGGACCAGAAAGCGGGGGCTGGGGGGAATTCTACCTGAGCTCACTGACTGACTTCAGAACTCTGCATCTCTTCTACTACTAACCCTTTGTAAAGAACTCCCAGGAATATCACAAATACACTACATAATTTTCACATTGTTTTCGTGTATGCTGTTTCTCTTGAAACCAAAGAAAGGTCAGACGTTTACAGAGGAAGCAGCTCACACAATAGAGGTCCTTAAGGTTTCTATGGTGGCAGAAGTTTCACATAAATGATGGCTCAGGGTCTCAGTTTCTGAGGGGTAAAACTAGAAACTCTATTTTCTGTATGAATTTTTTCTTTCTTTCTTTTTTTTTCTTTAGTCAGGGACTCATTCCATCGCCCAGGCTGGAGTGCAGTGGCACACTCATGGCCACTGCAGCCTCCACCTGTTGGGCTCATGTGATCCTTCCGTCTCAGCCTCCCGAGTAGCTGGGACTACAGGCGCCACCACACCCTGCTAATTTTTTGATGTATTGCAGAAATGAGGTCTCGCCAAGTTGCCCGGGCTGGTCTCGAACCCCTGGGCTCAGGCGATCCTCTCGCCTCCACCCCCACTGCACCTGGTCCAGAAACTCAATCTTTGTCTGTGAATACTCAGTTAAACACACACTAAACAAATTCACGTGGTATCGGTATAAATCAGTTGACAAATGTATTCATGTGTAACAAAGAAATACACTAGTTAGTGACCAAAATACTCACATTTGCTATCAAAACTCACCCTCCCTGAAACAAAAGACTGCAGGGCGCTGAACTAGCAGGTCAAAAACGCTGCTGGTTGTGAGCACAACATCCAAGGGTCCAGAGCACTTTGCACTCAGGCCAAGAAAAAGCCTGGAAACTGGCCTGGCCAGGATCAGTGGCTCAGCCAGTCCCAGCACTTTGGGAGGCCGAGGCGAGTGGACTGCCTGATTCTGTGGGTTCGAGACTAGTCTGGGCAACTTGGCAAAAAACTCATCTCTTTTTTTTTTCTTTTTTTGGGTTGGAGTCTCACTTTGTCGCTCAGGCTGGAGTGCAGTCGCACGCTCACAGCCACCGTAGTCAGTCTGGGCAACAGAGTGAGACTCCGACTCAAAAAAAGAAAAAAAAATTCTCTCTGGTGCACAAGAGAGCAGGCTTGTTCGATAACCAGTCAGCTGTCCCTACCGAAGCCATTATTTCCCGTCTATGGAGAGTGTTGTCTACCACCAAAGAAACAATTAAAAACTACCCTCGGTGGAGCGTGATGGCTCAAGCCTGTAATCCCAGCACTTTGGGGGGCCAAGGCCAGAGGACTGCCTCAGCCCATAGGTTCAAGATCAGCCTGGGCAACATGGGAGACCTCATCTCTACAATAAGTCAAAAAATTAGCCAGGCGTGGTGGTGCGTGCCTGTAGTTCCAGCTTCTTGGAAGGCTGAGGCCGGGATGGCCGGAGCCCAGCAGATCAAAGCTGGGGTGGCCGTGAGCGTGCCACGGCACTCCACTGGATGACGGAGTGAGACTCCGTCTCAAAAATAAAAATAAAAATAAAAATAAAAATACTGCAGTCATAGGCTAGACACGGTGACTGACCCTGTGATCCCACCGCTCAGAGAGGGTCATACCAGACCAGGAGTTCCAGGCTGTAAGAAGCAATAATCATACCACTGCCCTCCAGTCCGAGACCCTGACTCAAAAAAAAAGAGAGAGCCGGGCTCGGGGGCTCAGCCTGTAATCCCGTGCCTTTGGGAGGCTGGGGTGAGCGGATTGCCTGAGCCCGCGGGTTCGAGACCCGCCTGGGCAACTTGGCGAGACCTCATCTCTACAATAAGTCAAAAATGAGCCGGGCGTGGTAGGGCGCATCTATAGTTCCAGCTACTTGGAAGGATCGCTGGAGGCCAGCAGGCGAGGCTGCGGTGTCCCGGCCACCGCCCTCCAGCCTGGGCGACAGAGTGAGACTCCAACTAAAAAAAAAAAAAAAAAAATCTGTGCTACTGCACGCACACACACAAAAGTCAGACTAATGTTTTAGGGTAATTCGTCCAAAGTAATTTTCTCCATAATAGCATAATCCAAAATTTTAAGCAAAAGAGAAACTAAACACTCCAATTTGCCACAATGGTTTTCTTCAAAAAGACTTTAACAAATCTATTTTTGCATTCCAACTACTTCATTCTCTTTCGTGTAAAGTAACTGAAGAAGCTGATTCCAAATGCAGTCCTCATTAATTAAATACCTTTTAAAAACTAGCCATGAGCCGGACTCGGTGGCTCAGCCTGTAATCCCGCGCCTTTGGGAGGCTGAGGTGAGTGGATTGCCTGAGCCCGCGAGTTCGAGACCCGCCTGGGCAGCGAGACCTCATCTCTACGATACATCAAAAAAAAAAAAAAAAATCAGCCAGGCGTGGTAGCGCGCGCCTGTAGTTCCGGCTACTCGGAGGGCTGAGGCGGAAGGATCGACGGAGACCAGCAGGTGGAGGCTGCGGTGGCCGGGAGCGGCCATTGCACTCCAGTGTGGGTGACAGAGTGAGACTCCAACTCAAAAAAAAAAAAAAACCAAACTAGCCATGCAAGGTGCTTTCAGAAGCATCATTATAACAAACACAAAGGCAGTTTCATGATGATTCAGGTTTGCAAAAGGGATCTAAAACATCGCCACAAACACCATCCTGCATAAGAGTGATTGCTTCGCTTCGTTCCAGCCACCAAGAAACTAAAAGTAAGTATCACAAGCCAGACACGGTGGCTCACGCCTGTCATCCCAACACCTTGAGGGACGGTGGCCAGAGAACTGTCTGAGCCCAGGGGATCAAGACCCACCTGGGCAACCTAGCGAGACCTCATCTCTACGATAAATCAAAAAATTAGTCAGGCGCGGTGGTGCACGCCTGTGGTTCCAGCTACTTGGAAGGCTGAGGCTGAAGGATCGCCTGAGCCCAGCAGGTCGAGGCTGCTGCACTCCAGCCTGGGCAACAGAGCAAGACTCCGACTCAAAAAAAAAGTATCACAGACAGAACCTGCTTCTTTTTTATTTTTTTTTTTGAGTTGGAGTCTCACTCTGTCGCCCAGACTGGAGTGCAG